GAAAAAATGAATAATTAAAATAAAGAGATAATAATAAAGTTAAAATAAAAAATATATTTACTTAAAAATATAAAAATAATTATTATTATTCAAAAATGAATTTTAAATAAAAATATTTATTTTTTTTTTTTTAACAGATTTTACAAGAACTGGGTTCGAACCCCAGCCTGAAGAGGGAGTAATGTACCGTAGGTAGTTTTTGCCACTTGACCCAAAAGGCTCGATGCAAATAAAAATATTTATTAGTTTGAGAAGGAGGAAGTATAATATGGGACTATAACATATCAATGATAATAAATAATATTTAATTAAATAAAATTACTTAAAAATTACATATTAAAACCCAAAAAAAATTAATTTATTATTCATTTTTACCTATATAAAAACATTATTTAAAATTATATGTAAGTTATTATAATAATAGATAATTTAAAACAAAAAAATACTAATAACATTGTTTTGCAATTTTTTATTATTAAACTGAAGTAGAATATATAAATTTGTAAATAATAACAAATTAACAAAAACTAAATTATATAAATTTGTACTTATTAATTTTAAAATTTTGACATAAAAACTTCGTCTGGCTGAGGTAGCATAATGACCTAATTCAGGATGATTCATCACATGGAAAAGTAAAAATCTTCAAAGGAGGAAAGGAAAATCTAAATTCTTAAATCATTTTTCTTGTTTTTCTAAGTAAAAAGGTATTATAAAATTTAAATTGTTAAATAAAGACAAGACCCTTAATACTAATCAACCATCTTCCTATCCCAGCAATTTTTATTTTACAAAACAATAAAGTACAACCTATAAAACAAGAAATAAAAAAAAAAAAAAGAGAGAAAAGAAAACTCTTCTCTATATATAATGTAATTAGTAGAGTATGTTTTATTTTCTTTTCTTAACTCTTGATTCAAGTTGGGTTTATTAATTATAAATTGAGATTATTATGAACGTGATTATAAAGGTTGGATTCAAATTCGTTACTCGAAAAAAGAAAAATGCACTTTAATATAATTTTATTGTCACTGAATTTGAAGATTCGAGTGCAATTATAAATTAAAAATTATTAAATCTTAATTAACCTACCAAATACATTTGGTCTCCAACTAAGATTTGTCAAAAAGAGGCCTTGCAAAAGTAAATCGAGAATTGTTTTCATTGGACGTTGGACCAATTCTCCATTATCATTTTTATCGTGCGTCAAAATCTTAAATATCTTAAATTCTATCAATTAGATAAGGAAATTTTCAAAGAAAAATTTGGATAACGACTTTTTAAGTTTTTTTT